AGGAATGGAATGTGTATGTTTGAAATTAAATTTTGGAGAAGTTCTGTTAGATTTCTTAAATGTAAGTTAAAAAGTTTGTTAGTGAAAAGCTTGGTTTTGTTGGTGTGGTAGCTAGGAACATAGAACCTTTAGAGATCAGAGAACGAGTCCCTGCATGAGTTTCAATGATTAGTTTTGGAAGGAGATTTTACTAATTTGATTTTTGCATGACAAAGTGATGTATAAATACATGCCACAGTGCAGAATGCCCACACCTGCAAGCACATTCTTACTAGCTAAGTATTGAAATCTCAGTGCCCAGATCATTATTACTGCTGTAGCTAAGGAGAGATTGTGAATTCTTACCAGATATTGCCAATCTGTTCATCATTGAGCACAGAGAAAGAGCTGGGTAAGTCATAATTCCTGTTCTTGTATTTTTCTAAAATGATGCATTTTTGTACATGCATGTACAAAACTTCTTTAGCTAGCACTCTTTGTGTACAGATTCTTATAATTTTGTAGGATTTAACATGTTTTAAATGTGCTGCAGAAGACACAATGGGATCTATTCTTTAATCCAATCGTGATCAAAATTGATTGCATTCCAGTACTTCCTAGGTGCCACAAGATTTTTTCCAGTACTGTTACAAAATGCATTCATTTTCAAACCTTTGCTTGTAGCACTAACCTGTTTTCCATTGTGAGTGACTGAAGACAAAATGGTTCGCAATGTCTTGAAACCCATAGCAATATCCAGGAGATGAGCAGCAAAGAAGAAGTTGTTGTAGTGCCCAAGGATAGACATAGTCGTGTACCAAGCTAAGTATAAAAATGACTGCAGAGACAGTGAAAAGTGGCAGAATGTTAGCAGGTGCTAATGTGCGTTATTGGATCCAGAATATAGCTTTTAGTTACTCAAGTTATGAAAAAAAAGTAATACTATAATGATCTGCTTTGAGTCACAGTCTGAATGTAATACCTCTGTTTTACATGTTCAAAAAGACAGTCTTACTCTGCCTCTTGTCATCTGTGCTGTTATTTAAGGTGTGTTTATTGCTAGTTATGCAAACGAGACCTCTATCTTTACATATTTAAATACAGCTTTCAGCATATCTGTTATTAATGTCAAAATCCCCTACCTTAAAACTGTTTTGGTTGGGGAGCTTGTTACACAGTACTTTACATTTTAACACTGATTCTGGAAGAGAGAAAATGCAGTGTATTCCTCTTGAGACACTTTACTCTGTTTAAGTCTCAGACCATGTCAACCAGGGCACCCAGAAAACCTGCAGTACCTAATTATTCTTGTAACAAGCGGTGAACCTGAAACCACTTTGACGTGAAATCTCTTATTGAAGAACAGTGGCTCAGTGTGCTTTTAGTGCACAATGAATTTATAGATCTTCACTTGATTCACCTTGGCCTTCTTATTTTTTAGGGAATGCTCAAGAGGATGCAAAAAAAGGAATTCTAAGCTAAGCATGGTCCTTTCAAAAGAGAAGGTATGAAAGAAAAGAATTAACCAACCACGTCAAACAGATGATTCAAGAATAAAAAAGGATAACTTTCTGTAGCCTATGCTTGATTTTAGAAAGACACCTTTGGTTTCTAGACTGACTTCTACAAAATTAAATTAATATACCAATTATATTCCAAAACTCTGACATTGTATTAATGGTGAGGAGGTGCATATTGCTCCTCAGAATCAAGAAGAAAATGCTAACATAAATTAAAGCAGTTTGCTACAACACAAGACAGAAAAAAAAAAATTTTAAACGGCTCTGCAACACAGTATTATTTGTGTATGTTTGTTTAAAATAAAAGCAGATGGTAGAAGACATACAATCATGTTTAGAGTAAACCAAAGCATATTCTTCTAGGCTAATGTACTCACATTATCAGTGAAAACAACTCCGAGCTTCCAAATATGGTACTTTGTATCAATGGAGCTTAACCTAGGAAATAAAAAATGTTTGAAATGCATCAATGTCAAAATTAAGTATTGAATTCTGTAAGTATTAAACAACAAACTAGGTTTGGCACTTCCCATTTGTTTGCTGAAGTTGGTGATACACATTAGCTATTTATGTTTTGAGTGATGTCGGTGCTTTATTTTTCAGAGAGTATTCATTAACTCTGTGCAGCCACGCACAGTTTCTAAACCACTGAAACTGGTGGAACAATTTCAGTAGGAGTGGTGCTGCCACAGTCCAGACCTACAAAAATTAAAATGTTTGTTAAAAGTAGTGAAATGTGGAGCCTGAATTGCTTGAATTCAAGAGATAAGTGTTCTGTCTGGTATAAAATGTTGCCAAAATTACCAAGAGAAAAGGCAATGCTTTCTGCAAGATACTAAATATTTTATTAGCCATTAGATGACATGCAAACAGAAATCCTTCTTCTTGTGTGTCTTAAGTATTGAGGAAATCAAACTCCTGTAGGAGTCTAAATCACTTGGGACTTGGATACTTTCAAACTCTCATCTTCACTGATGGATTAAGTCAGGAAAACATCTCTGAATTTTTTTTGTAGATACCTAGCATATAGGTATTTGTTACCAGTAGTTTTTCTGACCTTTGGTTTATAAATACTCTGTTGTAATGGCTAAAGAACTTTTAAATGCTGTATTGATTATTGTTTAAAATAAAAGAGTGCCCAACTATATCAGCCAGCATCAACTTGTGTGATTGTGGTTTTTTTTCTTTCTTTTATAAACAAAAGCATAAGTATGTTTTAAAACAAACAAAAAGCTTTTTTATTTTACTTCCACATTAGGAAGAATTCTGCATTTGAATTTTCCATACTGAGGAAAACATCCCTACAGTTTCAATATAAAATCTGTTTTTATCTTTAGATAAAAACTTTAACAGTAAAGTTATGCCAACACATGATTTGTCTGGGAAGTTCAGAAGTCATACCATGATACAAGAGATGCCTCTTCTTGTACGCCCTCTTCCACTGGACTGAAATCAAGGGCACTTTTGTCCAGGCCCAAAAGTTCTGCTATGCGCTCTGCTCCATATAAGTCTCCGTACTTGTTAATGACCTAAAAATGGAAGAAGATAAGCTTTTGCTCAGAGAAAGATCTCGGTGACATTCACCCTACTTTACGTGAGTAGTTGTCTGAAGTAAAAAAAAAAAAAAAAAAAAAGTCTTCTACAATTAACTCTACTAGAACAGTCAGAACTCCCAGCAAGTCAGGTGGAAGAAGCACAAAAAGGAAAAACAGGAGCATTAAAGGCTATTACCTGAAAGCTTATGTATAATTTACCATCATTTAAGCTGGCATGTTTTTCTTTTTTTAGGGGGATGAGGGGGCTTTGTATCCTAAAGATGACAATGACTGTAAATTAGACCTGCCTGGCTGACTGACAGCTCAAAGTTATTTCAAATGCCTGAGTCTAGGAAGGAAACCACAGCCTTCTGTCTTCCTCCCTCCTCCCACCCAGGCTGCATCTGCCTGTTCACTGAGACATTTACCACAACAATGACTTTCATAAAGCAAATTTCAGTTCTCAATTATTTGTATATTTATGTGTACAGAAATATATTACACAGATATCAGAATTAACTGAATAGTAGATTATTGCTATGACTAACAGACAGAATAGAAATACAAAAAGCCTACCTTCCGTTTTACAAATTTGTCCCAGTAATTGTTAGGGAAGGACCTATATAAATAAGGCAAAGATATTTCCAGTTATTTAATTTGTTAGGGGAAAGAAAATTTTTAAAATGCAAAAAAAAAAAACCAAACCCACAACACGAAAAAAAAAAAGAAAATTCCATGTTCCTGATCACTGCAGATTCTGGTAAAATTTCATTCACTCACACAATGCACTTCAAATTATGAGAACAATTTCTCTTCCTGTGGACAACAGCTGTTATTAATCATCTTTGCTCCCCATCCTCCCCCCCTTTTTTTTCACAACCACAAATATGATTGGCTACCAAAGGACAGGAGACTAAATATTATCACCTAATGAGCCTAACAACTCAATTATAGCAGGGTAGTCACCGTAATATAATTTATCTCCTAAATAAATACTTTATTGCTGTTAGTCATAAAATCAACACAAATGATTTTCAGAAGAAAATACGAGAGTCTTGTAGCATAAATAATTTTTAAGTTCACTGCATTACATTTCAAGGAGAGGCTGAACACATGGGAACCAGTGGACAGTTTGCCAATATAAAATTAAACTTCAAAAAATATTACAAAAAACCCCCAGAAAATTGCAAAGATCTTTTGGCAAAAACAGGGGTTAGTGGTAATCCTGTTCTTAGTGTTTCATATTGTTGTTACCGGATCCGACATCCCAGAACAAGACAGGGTAAAAAACATAATTCTAAAACTGCAAGACAGTTCACCTAAAGAGCATTTTGTATCATTTGCCTCTGAGCAGCCATCCCCACGCTGCAATCAAAACTATTGTGAATACAAAAGAGAAAGAAATAAAGCAGTAAGTCTTAAATATTGAAGAGGTGTCAGGGTATCTTTTATTGAAAATTGCCTGCTTTAATTTTAGAGTAGTGAGCAACCATAATGCTTCAATAAGCAACCACTTTTATCCAGGGGAGATCTTACAACAGACACTAGGAAAAACATCCGCTTTGACCTGCAAGAAAAAAGATAGTATTCTCTCTTATCAGTAACATTTCCCTGATCTTCAACTTGATCAGAAACAATATTGTTCTTTGTCTTATGAATAGCAGTGCTCCAGAATTCCTGACAGTCTTACTGTATATTATGTCAGTTTTGAAGAATGCCAATTAGCACGAAAACACTACAAAAGTAAGGTTTTTCTCTCCTCATTTCCTGGCTGTTACATTGAGTTGAGCAAATAATGCAGGAAAGTAAAAAAGAAAAATAACTGCTTAAACTAAAGGACAGTATTGGTACAATAAAGCAAGTGTTAGCATCAAAAGAGTGAGATTCCAGAACACTGTTGTGCTGGGATGCGAGGCAAACTTCCCAACAACTAAGTGTTCTGAATGAAATTACTCCAGATAAAGGCAAACGGTTCTAGTGACTCAGATGGTATATTCTGGTCCAATGCTCTATATTATTTCTTTCCTTAATTTTTCAGACTTTTAAGCAAAGTATGTCTCTAATGTAGCCAGCTTATGTCTGTTTCTTTAACCACAAACATCCAATGGTGCTGCATGTATCAGGGTACCTCTTTTGCCTTTTTAATTACTTTTTTTTTCCACTTACAGAAAGCATATTTCAGTTTATGCACAGCACTGAGTACCCTCCAGCAGTGGTAAACCTGAGGGTACAATACCCGCACTAGACCCTGAGAGTCAGTTTGCATCAGAGGGAAGGAATAGTCTGCTTAAATTAGCTTTCATCTTTTATTCAGCTTCAGCAGGTAGTGCAACATGCTGAGAACAGGCGGTACAGCATGCCAGTTGGAATAAGGCTGACAACATATCTCATTAATTCATGCTTTTTTTTTTTTTTTTTTTTTGCTGAGGATAAACTTACTGGATGTCTAGATGGTTTGCTATCAATAGTTAAAGAAATGGGCTGGAAATTAAGCACACTCTCCAGTTTCCCAATTGCCTTCTACTGCAACTTCAATAATATGCACTGGTCTGTATTTCTAACTGAAATTAAGGAAAAATTCTTGAAATTCAGGGGTAGGAAAACAAAGCATTCAAGAATTTACAAGATGTTATACATTCTAAAGTTAATGAAAGTACTAAGGGTACTATTTATAATGTACAAAAATTGAGTATGACTGGTAATAAAGATATTTTGGCCATTAGGTAGTATATTATCACTCTGATGCCTTTAGTTGATTATTTTTGCTGGCTTGTTTTTATCAAATACTTACTTATGCCTGCACATCCTATCCACAATTATTTTGTGACTTGTAAATAACTTTGTTCTTTTCCAGCTTTCTGTTCCTGTCCTTGAATTATTATACTATAAGGGAAAGACAGGAATCTAAGCCTAGGTATACTAGTACCAAAATGTGATTCTAGTTGTTTTGAAAGAGAAAATTCTGAAAAGTAGCCTGTAGACAAGACACTGTTTCAAGAGAAGAGAGTTGACTTGCTATATTTCTTTGTGTCATTCCTACAGACTGCTGCAGCTCACTGATATCTTTCATTTTCTTGCCTACACTTGTATCATTCACTCACCGAACAGCAGGCGAGTATCCTAGAATCAGTGTATGACTGCTACAGTATTTGCTAATGCATACAACCTGACAGCAATTCCTGTCAGACCTACTCAAATTCTGGGATTGCTATTTTACACTAGATTTATTTCTCTTGTCATATACAAATTTTGTTAGAAAGAGGCGGGAAAGAAAGGCAGGAGAATACTGCTATACAATATGGCTGTGAAATTGAGTCACTGAAAAGGATGGAAGTAATGTTTCTAAAACTGTCTCAGTAGTGACTAATATGTGAAATGCCTTGGAGAGAGCTTGTGAGGTAAAGATGCACAATCCTTGCAAACCCTAGAAAAATGAAGTGGAATATACATGTTATGATATTATTTATTAAATAAACAGATAATACAGGATTTCACATTAGAATCTACTACTGTGGAATCCAATATAAGGTGAAAAAAGTCTTTTAGATGAACTAGATGGCAGGTGGACAGGGAAGGTTCTAGACGAGTGGCTTAATGAGCTATAATATTATAAACAGTTTACATATAACCATTTAATTTTACGTACGGAGTATTTATAACCAGGCGATCCCACTGTCCTTTAATATCATCCTCAGATGGCTGTTCAGTTATGTACAGTCCGTCAAATTCCAGCTTTCTAGCTACCTCCTTTTCTCTCTTGAATACAACCAGAGGGACCTATGGAAATGACAGTGGGCATCTTTGTCATGGTTTATATATTTTTAGAAAACATGGTATCCACCTAGAGTATTAAGTACTCTTTATAAACCTATATAAGACCAAACATCTCAGCTGTGCCCCCTCCCAACTTCTTGCCTCCTCCCAACATATTAGAGGGGGATGCACAGAGTGGGTAAAGCAAAGAGAAAGCCTTCACACCCTGGAAGCACTGCTCAGCAATGACCAAAAGGTGAGTGTGTTACTGTTTTGACCACAAAACCAAAACACACATGCTGCTATGAAGAAGGTTAACTCCAGCTCTGCCAGACTGAATACGCATGGAAAATACCTACATATTGAATAGTGAGAATTTGCAAACAACTGGGTAGAGATAGGTATTTCAGTATGACCTCCAAAAATCACTTTGGGACATAGCTGATGTTCTCTAACAAATAATAGATTAGTAATAAGATTCAGTACTTGCCTTTAAGCAATAGTATCCAATCACACAGACAAAGGAGATGATAGTATGAATAACTGCCAATGCTCTGAGAGCAGGTGCCATGTAACCTGTACTTTCTTCTAAAACAAAAAACACCATGCCCTCCTCCTCTTCCTCTTCATCGAAGGAGTTCCAGAGATTAGAGTCTTCCTCTGCTTCATCAAGTGGCTCTTCTGTCACCTGTGAGAAATTCAAGCACACTGAAAACACACAATAAACTTAAAAGCTTTTCCATTACTATAATGACAAATGATGTTTGCAAAGACTGCTTATGGGATAGAGCATTAGCTTTGAACAGTAATGTCCTTCATTTTCACAGCAGAAGTCTCCAGATCATCTCATGCCACTAAAAAGAGAATCTAGAAAAAGCAAGTACAGGCATATGACAGTTTACAAATCTCTCCTTTAACAGTGCCATAGCAAAACCAAAACAAACAATAAAAAAGTTATGAAAAAATGTTCTCTTGGAAGAACCAAGCAATGACAGAACTATCTCATATGACTGAATTTAGGGGTTATTTTGTAATCTACATTGTTCCTGATTACCAGAGTCTAGAAACAAACAAATTCCTCATGTTATCAACTTGTACATTGTCCATAAATTTTTCTTTACTTCATTTAGAGCTTACAAATTAATACAGCATTTAATAAGTATCTTGTAAATACCCCAAGCCATAAAGCTGATGTTCTGCCCTAAATTCTTCCAGTGACTTTAAAAACCTGGCCTTTAAAATAAAATCCTTAAGTGCCCTTCTTTTGGCAGCTTTATCTGAAAGCTGAAGTCCTGTTCAGTCTTGTTTGGCTCCGCTGACCCTTTCCTATCTGTGACAGATGGACTTGTACCGATAAACACAAACTTTTGTGCTCGCTCTGCAACAGAATGGGTTGTTGGCTGACCCACAAGACCCAGTGGAAAGCAGAAGAGAGGGGAGAAAAGGACTGGCATAGTCAAAAGCAGACTTCTGCATATACCTTTGCAGTCCATCTTCTCTAACCGTAGGAGATGGAAAGAGAGGCAAGAAGGGAGACTTAAATGGCCCTGATGGTCTTTCTCTTGGAATGGTGCACAAAACTTCTACACGGTTTTCAAGAGCCTTTTGCGAATTTACCTGCCCTGTCTCTGAGACTATAACTGTGTTGGAGGAATTGCTTTTCAAGATATTTGAGATCAGGATTCAGTTACTTCTAGACTGAATGTTCAGACAGCTGCTTTTGTCTTCTCAGAAGTTTTTGGTTGTAAACAACAGAACTAGAAAACGTAATACTGGAAAACACAAGATTCATTAGCTTATTGCAACTTAGACCCTATACCTAGAAGGGGAAAATCAAAAGGGCTGGATTCCAGGATAAAGAGAAAGGCGGACTTTTCTTACGGACTTCAAATCTGTAAGGGAAGGGGAAAAAATGAGGCTTTTATGGATAGGAGTTCTCTTTAGTGAATTCTACTCCTTTTCATGGATAGAGGTTGTGAAGATTCAGGAATAAAATTAGTAAAGGCTGCTGAAGGTGTTCTCCTTTGTATCATTGGGAACCTGAAACAACTCATTAGATTCAGGTAAAACCCTAATATTTAAATATGTATTTAAACTTAATGTATAACCTTCTTCATCAGTGATATGAACAAAGAACTGTAGCCTACTGTGGAAAGGCTTCTCCTGCTTTATTCTGCCTGCTCATACCAATCAATTAAAGTCCCAGTGCAAGTACAGAAATATCTTCATCACAAGTCACTAAGAACCATCTTAGAATGACAACCAAGAAAATTGAGCAAATAAGTACAAAAACTGAATTATACTCTTACATGGAAACGCAGATTGGGAAAAGTATATATTTGATGTTCATTAGAGATTACCAAATTCACAAAAAAATATGAAAAAATAAATTAAATAGGCAAGCACTCCCCCCAAAACACTAAACTCCAGGTCTGAAAGGCAAGAAAAAAATTATGAACAAATTAAGTATTATTAAAATCTATGAGCTCATCTGCTTAAATTGAGACATTAATCTGATTCTGAAATTACATATAAACTATTTCCCAGTCAAAAATTAATTAAGTCAGTAGGGTTCTTCAGAAAAAGCAGAAAAACAATAATTGAGAATAATCAGGTGAGCTGAAGTCTCTCAGTATCTTTAAAACAAATGAGAGAAAAAAATGCACCAGTTTTGACTACATTATTTTAGCCCTATTTCAGATTTTCCATGACAAGATTAACAATCCAAATAATAACAGACTTATGTGAGTAAATTAAAAAATGCCTAGAAACACAAAGTCAGCTATAAAGGATGAATGAAATAAATCAGTTTTCATTCAGTCTGAGTGAAATAAAAACAGAATAGGTTTAATATCACAAATTTTCGTTACAAAATTTAAAATATTATTTTACCAACTTCATATGTAAGTGATTTAGTTCATGTTTGAAGGGCCTGTAATAATGGCTTAATTAAATAAGCCTTGAAACCATCATTAAATACTGGAAGTATTTTATTACTCTGGAAGTAACTAAAAACATTTAAAGAACAATGCATAATCTTACCTTGTAAAACAGAAGAATAAAGTTGATGGCAAATGCAACAAATAGAGCAAGAAACCTTAAATTATAAAAATTTCTTGCCAAGTAGTGCTGGAAGTAAAAAAAAAAAAAAAAAAA